TATGTTTAGTTCTATGATTTTCACTCGTATTATTCTTAATAAGATATCACGCTTAGGAATTTACTATTTCCATTAGCCAATCAAGGCACAGCGATGATATCATATTGATTGTAGAATGACACCTGTCATGAAGTTATTATAAATAGAGCTCATGTAATTAGTTTTAGTCAGAGTGAAGAGAAAGTAGAATAAAGATCCCGAGTAGCTCTACCGAGAGCGGTCCATCCCATAACAGTACAACGAACTATTAGTAGCTGTTGTTACTGCTAAACTATACTTAATTGGAGAAACAGGAATTTAAAATGGTGTCAATAGACAAACACAGCAAATGCTCGTAGCCACCAGGCAGCGCCGAGTCATCACTGGAAAAACTTGTTATTGGTTGACTGATGCATTAAGATACAAAGAACCAAGATCATATGTCATAATGAAAGGATCAACAACACAGCCTTATCGAATTTGCACTAATATTTTTCGAGCATTTTATTTTTCCCACTTCGCAACAACATGAAGATGTTATATTTAAAGTTTACAGTGGCTTTTGTTTGTAGTGCTCGCCTTCGTCGTGTAGTATTTCCCGCCCATTTCTATCGAAAATAACTTTCTTTCTTAAATTTTAGGAGTCGTAGTTGTATCCATATTCATGTGTGGAGTGAGCACTTGTTAAATATGTATGTCTCTAATCGAGCCACATGTAAACTATCCTAAATATGTCTATGTCAATATTATATCAGCTACCTGCGTTTGCGCCGTTGTAAAATATATTATACAAACTTTACAATTAGCTCTTAATAGAATTGAGCATTTATTTCCTTGACATTTATTCCTTGCTAAACCATACTCCAAATCGGAGCTCTGTAGGAGGGTTTTGAGTTTTACATGATGTACCGTTCGTTTCGTGCAGTGTTGTGTATTCTCTTCTTGTGCTCGGTCGGTAAATCGTCTTTCAAAAACGCGCTGTTCAAATCCCATCTATTTCATACTGTTCCGTCTTCAGAATTTATTAACGTTTTGAATGTCAGAAGCGTTATCGAGTGTGGGTTGTCTTGCATGAGATCACAGAGGTGTGTTTCGTTTAACTTCGCATTGGAAGCCAACATTGAGGGCAATTATGTATGTCAGTTGCTACCAACCGATCTAATACATCATGGTCTGGCTGCAACTCCTTTCTTTCACCATTTTGAACTTGTCGTTACGGTAAGTTGCATGCTAGTAATTCTTGTTGTACTCATCTGAAGTGCGGCTAGTTTGGCTTGTTAGTATACGCTCTTCGCTATCAAGAGAATCAATATAGTCAGTGCACTCGCCTCTCATCCCTGGGGTCTCCAGTTTGATTCCTGGACTCAGTGTCACATGTATATTTAGAGTTTGTTAGGCCTCTCCCTTGATATTCAGTCGAGGGTTTTTAGTCTCCGTGTTCTTCGCATTTCCTACCTCTATAAACCCTAACACTAAGCTAAATTCCATTTCGTTCTGTGACTTAGGCGTGACTTTATCAGTAGAGGTATCAATAACAGTTGAAGGTTTTAAAGGCTATCTACGAAGCAAAATATATCATTTGTTTATTAAGAAGCAAGTGTGGTTTACCGTTAATGATACGTTATGAGAAGTAGGACGTTTCCACACAGTTCGATCCTAAGCGCCCTCACAACTTACTTCAATAAGTTTGGCGAGACTGCTTGCGTTGCGGTTTTTAATTTTCGTTTATTTTTTTCGTACGAAACTTTATGAACAAAATCTGTTTTTTCTCCCCCATTTTAGTCGACTTTTTTATTCAGTTTCAATCAGCTTATGCCGTCCTGTGTTTGATAAAGAGTTTTCCGGCTGAAAATATTCAAGATTTTGTTTTGAAAAAGCAGAATTATTTCCATATCCTGTTATTTGAGTGTTTAGAAAACAACCAATCCTTCTTCTTTACATCATTAGGCTTTTAAAATTATATTTGTATAAAGCCTATATATATTTGTCTAAAGCCAAGAACTTAATTAAACTATTGTAATTAACTATAAATGTTGTTGTCGTAGGATCCTTGCCACAGCTCACCATGTCTAAATGGCGGCAAGTGTAGTGCGAATTCCGGAGGTAGCGAATACAGTTGTTTTTGTCCTCCGTGGTACGCTGGAAAAACCTGCGAAAAAGGTCAGATTTACTTCTTAATTTTTATGAAACGTCTGATATATTCAGTTACAAATGATGATGACTATTCTCAGTGCGTGAAATAAAACATGAAATTAACATAACAATAGATCCCACAATCCATTGCATTGTATAAATTACAGCCAATCCTGTCTTTGCACACATTCTTCTAACGACATCAAGATTGTGCGTAACCTGCCCAACGGCCCTGGGCATAATGTGGTGCGAGATGCCTGCAGTGAGCATGGGCACACAGCAGCCATTTTGTCGGCTACTGCGCCATCTCTCATATATATTCATATGTAGTGTCATCGCAGAGAATATACTACTTTTGGTTGAAGAGTTTTTACGATTTATTTTTTCCTTCAACAGCCAACTGGGTGAAAATTAACACTACTCCGCTATGCTTTGGAAGTCGTGACGACGCCTTCAGCCCGTTCGTTATCCAGAAGACCGGCCTTCTATCGACGATGAAACTAGTCCACGTCAGAGGAAACATAACATGTGACGTCACCAATGCTAACGGCTGGAATAACTGGGGTTGCCTTGGAAGACACGGTAACCATATGTACATGAGTGTTATCATAACCACCCGTAGTGACAGTATAGTGCTGCCAGAAAGGAAATATTTCATGCATAATGATAAGGTCTATAATTTCCCTGGCTGTAACGCATCTTCCCCTGAGCTGATTTTCCCCAAATTAGCGAGCCCACTGTATGTTATGACAGGTCAGCAGTATCGAATCTGGTTTGCGCAGGACTTGAGAGACTTCAGCGAGACAAACAATGGGGGTACTAATTGTGTTGATGTTTTTGGATTGTACGAGTAGAGTAAGACCCAACCAACCTGGTCGGTGGGGATGGGGGTGGGTCGGAGGAAGAGTAAGACCCAATAGAGACTTTGCACTCTTACGTGATTTCAGCCATGACAGGAGACACAACAACAGAGTCGTTCTCCCGTGTGAAACTGAATTCTTTCTCATGTAAATTAGATTAGGCCAGATTCTATTGTTCCTACGTCCTGTCATGGCTGCCATCACGTGATCGGGTGCAAAGTCTCTATACGTATATTGTATATTTTGAAATATTAGACTCTTCTAACACTAAGAAGTCCTACATATCAACTAAGAGAAACAGGCTACACTTAACCAACAAGTCTGTTATACTAATTTATCTCTTTCTTGTTAATTAACTACATTCCTGGACTTAACATTGTTCTATTTATTGTTTATTATTTACTCATTTTGTAGCTACATTCCTTAACTTAGTATTGTTTCTTTGTTCGAAACATGTCTAAATTTAAAAAAAAATGTGATTTCAGTTTTTTTCCCATTTATTTCTAGTGAAATATTACTTTATAGTGGTTTGTGCCTCGCAATAAGCCTGAAGCGAGATGACGTTTTACCCCCGTCTCTAGACCATAATCCTTTTCACATGGCTTTTGTTCTTTAATTATGACTATTGTTCCAGTATTCTCTAAGGAATCAAAAAATTTTAATATGAAAGAATTTTAAAAACTATTATGGTATAGAGTCGGGGGTAAAACGTCATCTCGCTTCAGGCTTATTACGAGAAAGCTAATTTGTATACATTTGTATACACCCATTCAGGGTGGGCGTAATGTTTTCTCATTTCAGACCACTTATTGTAATTCCTTTGGGAATAAGATTATTTGATTTCTACTGAAGACCTTTCCAGCCTATGAAGCCCCAACCCTCCCCCCAGGAAAAAAGGACTTTCCCTAAATCAAGAAAATTATACGCGTGGTATGAAATTGGAAAGACTTCACGCCCTCAAAAACTATTGTATTAACAGTTGGAAAGAAAATTTTCAAAGAACAGATAAGCAGCATGCATATCTTAATTAAGAGCCATTTTTAATTCGCCTTTCTGATCTTTAATTTAAAACAAAACTGGTATAAACTCGTACGTGGTCCTTGGGTTGTTCCACTAAAGTTTTTAAATTAAATTTGTCAGGCGGAGTGGCAAAGCTTTTAGATCTCCCACAATCCTTTGTACCATGAAGTCGTACCAGTCTAACTTCCTTGGAATAAATTTGAAGATTCGAAGTCTTAAAAAGAATTTTTTGCATGCTTTTAATTGTTAATTATATATGATAAATAATAAATCTATCAATATTTGATATTAAACAGGAGCACCCGACGGGCAAGTTTATGGTTTTGTATTTAAATTGACCTAGAACGTTTATAAGTGTTTATCTCTTTCATTTTTGAGTGAAAAAAAA